AAGTCAATATTGAGTTTAAAGAAGGCCTTCAAGCGATAAGATCCAAACTTTCAGTGGTTGCTCATTAATTTCTCGGAGACGTTTTGTTCTGGAGCTAGCAGTCTTTTATTCCATGTTTCTTGATGTTGCACCGGTAACCTTGTGTTTACAACAGAATTTATCCAAGTTTGAAATTTTGAGTTCTGATGATTTTCCCAAGCAGTTCTTAGTAGCTTTGTAGTATAAGTTCATTTTAGTATCACATTTATCTGTTTAGAATGATTTTGTATCTACCTTGTGATGCCATGCCAATTAGTAGCAAGTAAAAGACTCGATGGAAGGCCTACTGGCACAAGTTATACTGTTATTTGACGTCCAGTGACACCATACTCACCTGGCGACCGTATTACCCTGTATTTAATAGAAAATAGCCCTACGTAAATAAGCGCGCTGATTATTTAAAATCGTGTTTCTATATAACTCGATAGAAACACGGTATATGTTTTCTATTTCTTAAAAACAAACAGCATGTAAGGGGGTATAATACTTTCGTTTCTACACATTTCTCCCTCAAATACTCTCTTAACTTACAAACAAACAATCATATGGAAGCAAAATGAAAAGAACAGAAAGTCTTCCTAAAAAGGCGCTCTTTTTAATTAGAAAGAGTTTGAAAATTCACTACCCACTAATTTATGGTAATTGAGGGTAATAATAATATAAACGAAAACAGGACATTGAAAAACTCGCGCACGAACAGAGCAAGTGGCGCACATACAGACGTCGTTAGGACAATCACGTGACAACCAAATTTTCTCGGCTCGATGGGTTACCAAATTTTCTAAGGCCTTCGGCGCGCACGAGCTCCGCTACAAAATGAATCATCCAAATGTTTAACGGATGGTGCGTTTCATAATCGAATGTAAACAGCCCTGCTGACTATGAATGAAACAATTTTCCGTGGTACCTTTCTCTTACTAGCTTATAAATTATAAATGAATCAACAGACGCACCTGCTGCGTGAAACATCCCCTCATCAAAAGGTAGGTTGTACATTGCGATCGCTTTGTTCTTTGCAACAAATTTTGTAGTCAGTACAGAAATGAAGCATGTAACTTGCACCTGCAACTCGCAAGGTAGGCGTAACAGGTGTTCGAAGACTCGCAGATATTTTGTCATTACTGATTCATTCTGGTCATTCACTCAATGGTTTGTCAAACAAGGTCCGACATTGACCGAGAAAATTGAGGACTGGTTACTCTTTACTCTTTACTATTTTAACTCTTCACTCTTCACTCTTCACTCTTATTATAAAATCGTAGGACAAAGTTTTTGAAAATTCGCTCAAATCTCGTTTGAACTCTCCAGGATGAGAAAAATGACACCATTGAATGTTCAAGAGTCCTTATTCGGTAAATCAGTTACCCATACATTGAACGAATTTAATGTCAACTCCTGATCTCCATGCTAACTCTTATATTTTAGCCACAGTTCTTCGGCCATACAAACTGTTATATTACGCTTGGGTAACCTGTGTTAAAACTACGGCTGCATATATGCACACGATGTTCACTTCGCCTTTGGCGAATAATTGTTAAATGTCCACGGATTGACTCTCACACAGCTTGCACGCAATTTACAACAACTTCAACATAACAGCTTTTCCCTGCAGAAAGGTCCTTGCTGAAGCTTCGAAGTAAGCAAACCAGGCAAACAAACAATTTTTCAGCTCTTTTCTGATGAGGATTTTTTTAGCAGCACTCGAAGAAGCCCTCAAACTTTCTCAAAGGTTTTCTCTCCTACTCGCGGGATGGCGTGTGCTATGTCCCATGTGATTTTAGTCAGCCAATTGTATTGCTGGTTGCACGACCTTGGCGGGAGGATTCCCGCGGCAAGTTTGCTATTTGTAGGCCTGCGGGAAGATCTTCACTAAAGAGATTTGCCGAATGCTGTCTCTAAGAAAATTTTCAAGGCCAAGTAAGCGTTTACATTACCAGCAATTTTCGGAGTTTGCCATCGGAAAATCATCGCTGAGTGATGGTCTCTGGAATCCTGAGAGTAGGGAGGTAATGCTATCTATGGACTAATTAAAATCATGCAGAAATTTCAAAACAAAGAAGCTACACACACGAAAGTAAACAAAAATCAAATCTTTCTTCTATAAACTATAAACCACGTTCATGAGCACGCAGCTAGCTACTCTCTTTACTCTCTTCACGCTCTTCACTCTCTTCACTCTCTCCACCCTCTCCACCCTCTCCGCCCTCTCCGCCCTCTCCGCCCTCTCCGCCCTCTCCAACTGGAACTGGAACTACTCATATTATTTGTCGTAGTCTTTATCAGTGTGAAGGTTGATATTTGTGTACTAAACGAATGAATTTGGTAAGAGTTGGGCAGTTCATGCCAGAGTGTATTGACGATGTCTCGCGGAAAGTCCAGTATCAGAGGCATTTTTAGTGAGGGAAATAGGCTGAAAACAAAACTAAGACAGAAATACGCGGTGGAGACTGTTATTTATTTTCCTGGTTGGCTAAAGTAGAAAAGAATAGGGTTTTTAAATGATTCCGGAACATCTTAATT